CTGTCAACAAACCATTTATGCCGAACGCCCTCAACTCCCTCATTCTGTGAGCCCAACCTGAGGCTGATGCATCCGCATGAGCTACAGAAGCAAGATGGCCAGGAGTGAGGAAAGCCCTGGTCACTGTGCCGCCGTTCCTGTTCCCTCTCCACATTAAGGGCCCCTGTTCCTTAGAAACTGGGGGCCCCACGCCAGCTTCTCCCCTGAATGGTATCTTTGGTCTTTGCTTCCCTTTCCCCATTCCCAATAAAACACACCAACTGCTTCACAGTATTTCTGGGTTGGGTTTTTCTGTGGGTTTTTTTTTTTTTATTTCAAATACTGAAAAAGTCCCCTGGGCTCTGTGGGGCTCCCCACGCTCACGGCCCCCTCCCCCCACTCACTGCCCTTCTCCCACCGGCAAATGTTCCAAGGACATTTTTTAAATGAATAATTTACATTAATTGCGTTCTCGGCTGGCTCTGCAGAACCAGAGGAGCTGTCTGCATCTGTCATATTTGGATGGACAGCTTCCTTTATCTGACACCAGGGCCCCGGCCACATCCAAGCAAACACGGCACTTTCCCAGAGCTGAACTGGAACCCCCACCTCTAGCTGACTCCATTCCTGCCCCTCACACCGAGCCCACGACGGCCACGCAGTTAAGGAAGAGGGCAACAGCGATGTATCCATCAGCTCCAAGCCCTAACTCATGTCCCCCCACATCTCCCACCCCCTCCGCTCAGGCACCACCCCCAGCGCCCCCAGGATCTCACTGAGATTTCTCCCAACAGTTATGTGGAAAAAAAGGTAAAACAAGAAAGGTTCAAGGTCTTGGTGCTCAGCCAAGGGGCTCCATGCGCTGGGACACCGACGGGCAGGGGCTTCTGCCTCTCCAGCCCGCGCCCGAGCCACCTCCTGGCCCCTGGCTGCAAAAGCAGGGAGGGGCAGGAGCCGGCACAGGACCCAGGGGCAGCGTCTCAGGATCTGGCGGAGCCCCGGGCAGCATCACTCAACGTGGCCGCTGCGGACGAACACAGAAGAGAAAGAAAACACTGTCAAGTAATAAGGGAAAAAGCCCTCAAGTCCATCCCAGCCTCGATCCCCTGACTCTGCCACACTTAACACTCATTAAGTCACCTGGCACACGCCTCGATCCTACCCACGGGAACTTATTACAGAGAGAGCGAGCGGAGAGAGCGAGCGAGAGAACGAGATTTCCGTCTTAGCCACAAAACAGAATGTTCTCTGCCTTTTTGGAGATACCCATGAAAACAGAGACAGGAAAACAACTTGTCAGACAGGATCAGAACCGCCGGAGGCTTGCAGGGGTGTAGCTGCCCCCTGGCCGAGAGCAGGCTTGGTTTTGCAGGCTCGGCCACAGCCGTTTGCAGCAGCAGAGACTGACGGGGGGCACGCAGCGATGACGTGCTTGCTGGCTGACAATGCGCCTGCTGTTGCGAGTGGCTTTAATGATCTAGGTTTAATCAAAGCAATTGGGGTTCGGATTTTCAAACGACCCCTCGTTGCCACGGGAGTTATGTGCTTCGTGCAGTGGAAACATGTGGTTAAGTGCAGAATGTAGCTGGCTCCTTGTTTTCTTAGCCTTGAAGATGACCAGGTGGAGAGAGAGCGAGACCAACAGCTTCCTGATTTCCCTATTTCTTCTATTCCTTCCTGAAACCAGTTTCGTTGTGACCTCAGTTTTGAGGATTCAAACTGACCAATAGAGAAAGCGGCTCAGACAGAAAAGAAAAAGTACAAACTTCGAGAAGATCGAAGATGGAGAAAACGTACAAAATTATATATATATTTATATATATAATAACATGACATATCTATGTACAACATGGCCGGGACAGTCGAGGAAACTATACAAGGATGTTCGGCATTTTCCCTCCCCACATGGACTCGACTAAGGAAGACGGCATGAGGAAATGGAGCAGGAAACACAAACGTTATATACAATTACAAGTGACAGTCAAGGAGTTTGGGGGCCGGGAACCCAGGGACCCTGCTCTCTCCGTTCCTTCCTCACCAACTTTTGCCTGTCAGTCTGAACGACAGCCTGAGACGCGAACGGCCGGTCGGGAGAGCAGTCCGGACACGTCCCGCCTCCCCCAGCGCACGAGCAAGTTCATCCCTCGTTCATCGCTCATTCGCACTGGGCCAAATGCCTGGCGCGCTGGAATCTGAGCGGTGAGAGGGCGAGAGAGGGTTCCGGAATCCTGCCCCCTCGAGCGGCCAGTTCTCAGCCTGACGCTCTCTGTGGGAATCGGCAGTGGCATTCACCAAGATTCGGGCCGTGCTAGTGATAACGAGGTTGATGACGTCGGCCACCTGCAGCCTTTCCCCCGCCTGTTTGAGCATCAGCCCTGCTGCCTCTCCTCAGCACGCAGGTGCTGAGCTCTAGGAAGGCAGAGACGTCTCGGTGCTCCTCTCTCCTCAACCACTTCCCCAGCTTCCTGCAAGGTGAACCATCTCCTGAGGACCTGCTGCGCCAGCCCTGCCATAGCACTTAGCCCCGGAGCCCAACTCAGTTCACCCCTTTTCTTCTCGTCTCCCTCACGATACGCCTGGCATCTGGTTACATCTGGAATGTCGGGCTCCACGTGTGCACGACCGAGCACGTTCCCTCAGGCCCACCGCTCAGCTGCCAGCGTGGCCTTTTAGCAGCGAAGGCCCAGACTAAAGGCCAGGAAAGCAGGTCAGGGCGGAGGCGAGAAGCTTCCGTGACTAGCTTCTACGAATTTTGTTTCCTGACCCTAAGACCATGATACCTGTGAGGCCCTCTTGCCTGAATGTATAAGCCCAGATCTCCGCTTCCTCTCCCTTCGTGCGGTCTTCAAATGGACCCCTCTGTAGACTCGCCCGTGGATGGCCCTTTTTCACTTTTAGTTTTACAATGAACAGCGGAGTTTTTTGGGTGGCAGTTATAGGATTTTAACATCAAGATCAATCATATCCATTTTCATCTCTATTTTACAGATGAGGAAGTAAGAAATCCTGAGAGGTTAAACGACTTGACCAAGGCTACACATCACTTCTGCCGAGGCTGGGACTAGAACCCGGGTATCTTGGTTCCTAAATCAGTGCTCCTTCCACTATCCCATGATATTTTCGAAATGCCGGGGGACAGAGAGAAGGTGCCCACTTTATGTGAATAATGTTTTCCAATCTTTACATTAAGAGCCAGGGCAAACTGTAAGAGACACTGGCTCAGGGAGGTTAAGAGGGCACTGTAGTTCTAGGCAAGCAAATCAGTTTTTCTCTTTGAGGATTCTCTAAACCTGCCATAATGGAAACATGAAGCGAAAGCAGCCTAAGGGACAAAAACACTTAGAAGCACAGAAAACAGATCTTATTCAACCTACTTTTCCCAATGATGTCAGGCTAGCCTTGGGATGCTACACCTATCATATTAGTCCCAAGGCTTAGCCTAACCTGTTTCGGGATATTCTCTTCCAAAAGGAGAAATCACACCTCCCCAGCTTTTCGTACAGAAGAAAAAAAGAGTCTGCAGTATCATCCAGTCCCAGTCTCCTACTTCTGGGCCCCCACCTGGGCTGCAGCGAGGGTGTGGAAATCTCAGTTCTACCGAAGAAACGAACTCGGGGCCCCTCTTCAACACACAGCACCTTCACAGAGGAACCGCTGGCATTTCTGGCTAGCAAGCTGAGAAGCTCTAACTAGGTGCCCATCCCATCCCTGCCTGTGATACATAAAAGTCCAGTGGGTGAGGAAGGGGGGGACAAGGGGGCCCAGGTTACCCCGCAAGCTTGCTGGTGACGAGCGAGGACTTTCTCTGGGGCAGATCCTGTGGGGTGGGGATGTGGTCACCAGTCACCAGGTTCTTGTCTGGTCCTGCACTTGGCAGCTGCTTATTCTTCATCTTGGCTTTGGCCATGTTGTAGTCTCCTGAGTCAAAGTACTTTTGCTAAGAGACAAGAGGGAGGTGTAGGTGAGTGAGGAGCGCGGGCCTTCCTCAAAAGCGAGGAGACCCACAGCCACTATAAACCCTCTGCCATGCTCAGATCTTCCAAGTCTTCCTCGATTAACCTCACGCCCACATAGCCTGGCATTAAGGACATGCACGCGTCTCCTCACACGTGGTCTGACTTTTTCAGGTATGTAAGCAGTTTCCCAGCTAGAGTACAGACTTTTGGAGTTAAGAGACTGCCCTGACCTTCTCTGTAGCCTCATCAGTACAGGATGGTTCAACAAAATCACTGACTTTATTCATAAAGGCACACTGAGGACCTACTAGCCTCCGACGGGTGTGGTGCTGGGGAAACAGAAAGGAACCAGACGTACAGAAGGCTCAATCTGGGGCCAGCCTCGCCATCAGCAGGAGACCCACATCCAGCCAATCATCTCAAAACTGAAAACTGTTCTCTCAGACCGTGAATAGAAACCGGGCTTGTTCATGAGGATGCTGTATTTTTCCTCTGACTCCCACTGCTCCCACACATGTTCCATGGCTGTGACAGCCTGCCCACGCCTGCCTTGCCTACAGCAAGGTAAACTGCAAATCAGCATCACATCATCTGTGACTAAGACTCAATAACTAGGAATCTCCACAGGATCTGTGTCACTCTCCATTTCATCCACGCAGAGGAATACCCTCCAGTTTAACGACTGACAGTCCCTCAGCTTTAGGTACTTCTGGGGACGGAGAAACTTGATCAGGAGCTACATGGCCACGAAGGCAGACTCTCCCTTGGTGAGGAGAATCAAGAAAAAGTAAGTCTCCTGAAGGTGTAAATGGCTAGTGCTAACTTCAAGGGTCTGAAGGAATCTATCCGAGTTGAGGAAATCTGTAGGACAGATGGTTTGATCTTCCCAAATGAGGCACCCCAAAATTTAGCTCTAACCCTAAAAACTGCAGTTCTAAACTCCCACCACTCAAACAGGCAAATGTGGGGATAGTCAGCATTCAAGTCTCCAACATTCTTCCCTCATCCTCCCAACTCTCATACCCAAATGCCCCTACATGAATCCTTAATATCCAATATGGGAAATCAGAAGCTAACTGATACCACAGCAGAGAGTTCCAATAATTTGCCTCTCTCTTTACAGCTTCTAATTCCTTTTCACTGCTGCCCAACAATAAAACTTCCAGGTCAGCATTCAGTAGACCCTCCACAGATCTCATTCTCTTTGGCTCCAAAGAGGATCAGAGATTGTGCCCCATACCCCTTTCTGGAGTCTCTTCATGAGGAAGTCGGAGCCTCCAGGCTTTTGTCCTAGGCTTGGATATTTGGCCTTTAGCTTTGCCTCCTCGGCTCGCTCAGGGAGAATACCTTCTTTCTCCTGCGTGTCCTGGAGGGAATAAATGGGCCAAAACAATTAAAGATTGAGAAGCAACTGTTTCAAATATTTGATAACCTTTATTACTATCAACTTTAGTATGGAGAGCTACCCACTTATAAACATGCTATCTCCACTCTACTCTTAAAGCTATATCTTTGTTCAAATTTCTAAAGCTCAAGATGACTGCATTGTTAGAAGACAAGGTGTTTTTCACACTGCGCCGAGGGAACTACCTCTGTGACCTGTGAGTACTAGGTTAAAGGTAATAACTAAACACAATATTTTTAGTCACAGAGTGAGCCATAGGTCACTCTGCATAGAAGCTAGCAAAGACAAAGAGAGAAAAGAGCTAACCGGGCTTCTGGAGATATACGAGTGGGCAAGTTCCCCGGCTGTCCCTAACATACAGTACAGGTCAAACACAAAAGCAAAGGAGATGATTCTGCCGAGATAGTCCCTCCTTATTCAGAGTCTCAGACAGTCATCTGAGAAGTCCCTCTGTGGAGGACGATAGAGCTGTGTGGCCTTCTCCAAAGATCCCTGCCTTGGTAATGGGCCATTGCTTCAGCATTTCCATAAACACATGGTAGGAAAGTGATAGGTAAAGAGATGACAATGATATTTTTAATCACGGGGAGATTAAGATAAAGTAGGTTCACTAGTATTTCCCCACAATTTCTGCCAGAAAGTCAACACCTTCCCTAGAGGGGCAGCTGATGTAAATTCGGGGAACATGCCAAGAGCTCACTGGCTTTGCAGGGGCTGTGGTTGTTGTTACTCTTTCCTTGCTTTTTGTGGGTCCCGCTGTCCTTTTCCTTCCTGACTTTTTAGAAGGACCTAAAGCCAATTTGTGGTTCTTTTTTACTGGAATTACATTCCATTCCCTTGGAAATCTGCCACCGATATAACACCAGTGTATTTCATGGATCCCTGAGCCCAGCACTCAATGTTATAAGTCAAATACAGACCCCAAGAAGAGGTTTATTTGGTCTGTTTTCATGACAGTATTGCGGGTGAACTAAGTCCCACTGCCTTGGAAGTCTGGGGGGAATGGGGTGGCATCTTTCTTGTCACGACTCTCTCGGTGTCTTCTAGGTTTAGCCTCCATTATTTTGTATGGAACCCTAGTCCTCTTCAGTCCCGTGAAGGTGGGCTACGGACCATCCCCAACCGTCAAAATAGGTTTCTTGAGAAAGTTGCCGCCTTAAACTAGCCACGATAATATAATTACTCTTCTCCCTTCCCCCCGTGCTAGTCCTTTCTAAACGTCTTTACCTCGACCTGTAACTTTCGGAGGATTTAGGGTGAGGGCCCCCGCTCGGTTGTCGGGTTATTTATCCCTGAAAACCGAGAACGCACAACGCATCCCGGGACCACCAGCCCCCTTTCATTCACCCAGTCTTTCCAAACACCCGCCCCCGCCCAGGCTCGGCCAATTATAGCACAGCTTCCCGGCGTTGAGCGGTAGGCCGATTGGCCAATCAAGAAGGGTACCGCACTGACTGACAATAGACCCAACCAACCGGCACCAAAGCAGCAAGCCGCGTTGAGGCTCACCCCGCGTGACGCAACGAGTGGCCAACCCCTGCAGAGCTTGAGACCATGGCGACCAATCCGCACGGGTGGGAGACCGTCTCCCGCCCCATCACGGTCGCCCCCGACTCGCCCGCCCGCACCCCCTCCATTTCACCTGCTTCTCCTCGCCGGTCTCCTCCGCAGGGTTCTCCTCTTCTTGTTTCTGGGACATGGCGGGACCGGGGCTGTGGAGTGTAGGGGGCCCGGGAAGTCAACCGGAGAAGGGAAGGGGGAGGGGAAACGGGGACAACCTGCGCTGCTCCTTCGGCTCCTGTCACTAGGGTTGCTCAGTCAAAATGGCGGCCCTTGCCTGTGACGTTGCGACCGCCCCTTCTTTTGGGAGCCAATAGAAATGGGGTAGATGGGGCAATGACGTAACGATCTACCAATAGCCGCTGGCTAAAGGTGGGTTTTATGAGGGCGACGGGCAAGCCGAAACACCAATCCGGAAAGAGAGTGAGCCACAAGGGCCAATTGGAAGCCCGTGGGGGATGTTAGGGGGCGGAGCTGCTAGCTTGGGCGTTTTTTCTCTTTTGGTGGGATCAGACTTTCGTTTTAGTGCCCCGCGGCCGCGAGGCTTTCCGGACAGCGAAAGGATATAAACCTTTTATTTTCAGGTGGAGAGGATTAAGCTTTAAGCAGAAAACTAAGCCTTAACAGAAAACTATTGAGCTGCAGAAAATAATTCGGAGGTCAGAGTGGACTTTAAAGTGGTACTTAATACGACTTCCATGTGGCACTTGGTGTGTGGCACGGAGAGGCTGATCCCGACCCCGAGTCGCCTTGCGGAGCTCAAATGGCTCACGCTCCATGATTTAACTCTTACGTACAGTTTTATACTTGCTCGGGGTCGTCCATGGACTAAGCTCCTTGAAACAGAGCGCAGTTCTAGGTACATGGTAAGCATTTAGTAAATACAGTTATCACTAGTTCAACTATCCTGAGTCACAGTTCAGCAATATTTCTTGAGAGACTGTAGATGGTTACATATAGTAAGGCAGTCTCTGCCCTTAGAAAGGTTAGTTTAGTGGGCGTGTGGGGAGGGTTTCCACAGAGTGCCAGGCGGACCCTAAATCCCCAAGATTAAAAAAATAGATCCATCTTCCTGGACTGTTAGTCATGTCATTTTTATATTAAAAATGAACATTAGTTTAATACTAATAAACTGCAAATTTTATTAAATTTTAATTTTGCAGGCAGTTTTTTGTGACAGCCTTGGCTATCTTAATCTTTTTTGTATAATTAGGTGCACTTTTAATGGAAAAGTGAGAATACATGGCAAAATCTGTTACGCACTGAAATAAAAGTGTTGATAAAATGTTACATAGGTTCAAAGGAAGGCTCAAAGTCAGTTTAGGGGAAAAAAGACCTTGTGATGGAAGTGGTATTTATTTCAAATACCTTTATTTATTTCAAATAGCTTTAAAGAAAGGAGTTTGTCAGGTAAAGATGAAGGAAGGAAAGGTATTCCAGGCGATGGACACAGTACGACGAGAATATGCGGGGCTTTGAATGCCAGGATAAGGAACTTGTGAATAAATTAGTAATTAAGGTTTTAGGCCAGAGAGTGGCAGATCAGAACTGCTCTTTAGGACGATTAGTTTGGTGGTAATGAACAAAAATAATTCAGAATTGCAAGCAGAAAGATACTAGACCGGAGGCGGGCAGACTATCCAGGAATCCACTGCAATACTCTAGGTGGGAAATAATTAGGACTTAAACTAGAAATGTGGTAGTTTAGAAAACGGTGAACCTAGTTGAGTGAGTGTGGTAGTGGAATCTACTAGATTAGCAGCTGATGATAGAGAATGAGAAGGCCACGTGCCTCAGGGCGACTATTTGTAGAAATAATAAATTCAGGATGAGGAGTCATTTGGGGAATGGAATTAGAAGCAGACAGAAAAAGAGGTGTTTGATTTTGGAAACTGCCTTTTAAAAGCCCGTGAGCCATTTGCTGGAGATGCCCAGGCAGTGAAGACTTGGGATAAATGACCTCTGAGATATCCTCCATATATGAAATGGTGGGGTTCTAGGAAATGTAGAAATGTTGTTTGGGAGAAAAGTAGACGCTAACTATGAATAAAATGTGGGCTTCTTCACCTACGTATTAGTGAAGTTGTGGATGTAGATAGCATCACCAAAGGAGAAGGTAGAAAAAAGATATCCCAAGACAGTAACGTGGGGAAAAGTCGGCAAGGGACACAGAGATAATGATCAGAGTGGTAAAGAGAAGAACCAGGAGAGAGTGACAGAGAAGTTAAAGATGGAGGGGACGAAAGCTAATTGCAAGTGTTTACAAAGCAAAGAAAGAAATCAGGGCAATGAACTGAAGAGGAAGCAGCAAAGGATTTTATTTTCTGGATGGTAGGCAAGGCTCAAGCTTGTTTTCAGAAAAGGGGAGGCCGAGTCTATGGCCATGCCACCCTGAACGTGCCGGATCTCAGATGGTAGGCAAGGCTTAAGCTTGTTTTCAGAAAAGGCAGCAGGGGCAAGTCTATGGCCATGCCACCCTGAACGTGCCCGATCTTGTCTGATCTCGGAAGCTAAGCAGGGTCGGACCTGGTTAGTACTTGGATGGGAGACCACCGAGGAATACCAGGTGCTGCAAGGCCTTTAAAAAAAGGCGGGGGGTGGGGGCAGAGGGCGGGGTTAACTGAGAGACAAACTAAAATCGTAATCTGCTTTAAGGAGGAGATAATGAAAGAAGGTCTCAGGAGATCAATCCATCAAGAGGGAGAGGGGCAGACAGGTTGGCCTTGGCGATGCTAAAGGAAGAGTGGGAAGGGACTGTGCAGGCTAAACATTTAAGGAAGTCGCAATATCATGGCGTTGCTCTCCTCCTCCTCTTCCCCTTCCCCTTCCCCTTCCCTATCCTCCTTCTTCTTGTGCCTTGTTTTCCTGAGGTCTATCTTTTGAGAATATAAAGGATAATTGGGTGACATAGAGGGCCCTAGGAAAAATGAGGGCAAAAACAGCACCATAGAAGATAGCAGGAAAGTTCCGCCTGAGATTAGATAAATACGAGTTTGTGGCAGTCCCAGTGAGCATGGCTCTGTGACTTCGGTCAGGAACTCCTGGCTGCCTTGGAATGGAGAGAACAGCCAGCCAGAGTTAACTAGGGCAGAGGACTCATCAAGGAGCAGAGGAGGAAGGACGACTGGCCCGCCGGCCCGCCGGAGTAGCCGACCACATCACCCGGGCCCGTTGGAGTAGCTGACCACATCACCTAGGCTCTTCAGGAAAGACAGAATGAGCCGGATTAACTGGGAGGATAGGAAGGAATTGACAAACTGGTCCTGAGACAGACGAAGCTCAGATTCGAGGGGAGGACGGAAGAGGCGGAAGAGGAGGAGGCTGCTGTGAGAGCAAAATTTCAGTCTGGATCTTGGAAGGTAGAGAAACGGTAGGTTATTATAAGCTGTAGCCTAGGCTAATTAGAATTGGTGGCAGATATGGCATGGTGATAAAAGTCACTGGTGTTGATGTAATCAAGGTAATGTGAAGTCATGGATGTCGATGTCTCAGAGCGTAATGATAGGGAAGGAGGTCAGGGCAGGGTGACTGTGACCCATATATTGAGAATGAGCTATAGGTCTCTAACGTATTTGTGCCTTACACTATTAGGTAATGTATGACACTTACCACATGTGTAAGTGTTTACAAGATCATTTCTGGCTGAGCCGGTCGAGGAATGTTTCCGATGAGGCAGTGCCTACGCTGGGGCTGCGAGGGTGCACAGGGAGGTTGGAAGCTGGCAGGGGAGGGGGGAAGGGTGGACAGTTTAAAGGAGCACGCTACCTTATAAAAGGTCAGAGGGTGGCTGCATGGTTGAGGACAATGGAGATGGGAGACAGAAACTGGCAAGAGTAATAATGACGTCCCAGAGGAAGCGAGATCCCACTGGCCCGGCAAGGCTCCTCTTGCATCCAGCGACCTTACCTGAGCACTCATTACGTGCTAGGTGTCGTGCTGGGCACTGTGGGTGCGAAGATGAAGGACAGTCTCTGTCTTCACGTTCCGAGATGAGTGAGGAGATAAGAGAGAAGGACAGTTTACACTGGAGCATTATGTTAAGGGCACTTCCTGGAGGAAATGACATTTGAAGGAAGTGTGGGAATGTTCAAGGTAAAAAAGAGGGTGGAGAAACCCTTTTCAGGTAGAAGGAACCTCCTGTGAAAAGACAGAACCATAAGAAACTCCATGTACTAGGTCCTTGGTTAGCAGACTTAGTTGATTAAAAGTTCGTAGGGCACTTTATAAAAATGCAGATTTCTTGAGCCCTGTCTCCCCCCACATGAATCAGTATCTCTGAACTGGGGCCTGGAAATCCGTATTTTTGAAAAACTCCCTCAGGAGACACTGCAAATAAGGCCGATCTGGGAACCCGTGTGGAGCAGCCAGACGAGACACAGTTCAGGCTGCTGGGGTCCTGAGGAGACTTATGAGTCATGCTGAAGTGTTGGGGATTTCGTGAAGACGAAGGGGGAACCTCTGATTTCAGGCAGGGAAATGGTATTGTTAGATATGGGATTGGGGAAGATTTCACTGTGGAAGCCATGTGGAGGTTGGACTGGAGACAAGCGGGAGACCAGCTGGATCTCTGTGATTGTGGAGGTCCAGGCGAGACTCGGGAGGCCTGGTCAGAGGCAGAGGCCATGAGAATGGAGAGGAGAGGGAGAGAGAAATAATAATGGATGTGGGGAATACAGGTGAAGGGAGGAGCAAGGATGAATCCCAAAGTCCTGAGTGAAGGGTGGTACCATTTGCAGAAAAGCAGACTCAGGGACAAGAGCAGATTGGAGGGGGGAGGTAAAGATAGAAGAGGCCTTGAACTTCTTACGTATTTATTCCTTGTCGTAGCACTTTTCTCTTGCTTGTGTCTGAACTTTTCAGGGTAGAACTTCAATCTTTTGGGTATGAGATGAGATACCTGGGAATAACAATGCACGATTCACCGGTGCTTAAGCAACAATCCATGGAAGAATGGCCATCAAAAAATCGAGACTGGAGAATTATCTGGGTTTGAGACACATGCCATTAGCACCCCCTGATGGGCCGCACTGAGAATACCAGTAAATAACCAAGCTCTATTCTCTCCTTGCTTCCTTTACAAATTTATACTCTAAGACTGGCCTGAAGTGTAGCCTAGGGAAAGTAGCTAAGTGACAAAACAATACAGTACTAAAGACAATTTTCAAAAAAGTAAAACCATAACTCATACAAACTCTGAGGGAACTAGTACGATGTCGAACTGGTTCGAAAGAGAGTCTGAAGGCAGACGCGTGTGCGTGCGTTTGAGAATGCCGGGATGGGTTCGCGA